AGTTTTCAGAAATGTGCAGAGTTTGTGCTATATGTTGTATGATAATGAAGTTAAGGAAAAATACATACTTAGTTGAATGTTACGCGGCTTTGTTTTTGGATTTGTTAAGAAATTGTGTACAGTAGTCTTCAAGCCTCGCTGTAATCACTGTCTGGAAAAACTTGTAAAATTGCACATCGGAGTACCTCTGTGTTGCACTGCTCTACTACGCTTGAATGGAAGAGAAAAATATTGTTTAAACAATTTATTGTGGGTAAAGGGTTTGATGCTACTTCCAACAACAATTTAGTCATATCACGACGGCAGTAAATACTTGCCCTGCTACAAAGTTTACCAGGTATACTAGTAAATATTAACTTGCACTACAGAATTTTAATATTGGTTAATGTCACATATAATAATGCAATACATGGCACCAAAGTAAATATTAAAGGCCAGGAGGTCTTCTGCACAAAAAAGCATTTAGCCATCCCAACAGTAGAGACTTGTGAATAATTCCATTGTTCAAATTGAATATTATATAAAAGTCATGAAAATGTAGACTTCTTCATGTTTCCAATGTTTTTTTTAAAAAATATTTCTGACTGTATTGTTATTTAAAAACAATTATTGGAATCCTATCAAGTTATATTCACTGATAGACATGACAATATGTATAATATCAATTTAGTATCAAATCTGAAGAATCCATTTCATATATAAACATGTGTATACATGTACATGTACCTTGTTAGAACCTGAGCTCCTTAATTTCACTGAAGCATTCATACTATCCCTCTGTCCACCTGCAACACATGGGAGATAAATGCTATAATACTTCAATAGTAAGTAAATAATAAATATTTACATTAAAATAAGCAACTTCTCATTTCATAATTATATGAATGAAACAGAGACACTGTTCCCTGGGTTTTAAATCAAGCTAAAAATGATTATGTTACTTAAAATATGGAATTTAAAATTGCATACACAACCCTAACCAAGTCTAGCACTGCTGCAAACATAGACTTGCAAAGGATAAAATTCCTCCAGTTATTCAAATAATCTTAAGTTCGAATACATTTAATATGAATACAAACTTTTAGATTTGTCCTCAGCTGTACAGGTGTCAGAGGTTCTAGAGGTATGACCTTGTAGACATGGTGTTGGCTTACTTGATGGGTTTGATCTGCATACATCTCTCTGAAAGCAGTACAAATTTATTTACAGATAATTTAAATTTGCATTCTGTAGGCCTACATATGATTGATAAATACAATTATTCACAATAAAGTAATAAAAATATGTGTGTAATGTAATCTATTATAGCTCATATGATTTATTAACTATATTGCCTTATGTGGCATCAGAAGGTAACACTCTGTAATGTCCCATGCAAACAACTTATATGGCACCAGACAGTATTGAACAAGATATAACAATGGTCGTAGGACAGGGCGGACCGTGAGACAGGGCAAACCATACCAGGACGGACCATATGTTTGGAAAGGGCGGACCATATCTTGGAAAGGGCGGACCATGACTAGAGATGAGGTGGACCATAATTAATTTCAAATTTAATACTGCTATTTCATTTATTTTATTTTTTTATCTTTTAATATCAATGTTATCAAAAACAAAAAAATGTTTAAAAAAATAAATTAATATAATTTTATACTAGTACATGTATACAATGTATATTACAGTGAATACTTAGAGTATTAACATTTACAGTACCCTTGCAATTATAAGTATAAAATAGGTAGGGTAAGATAGTGGGAATGGATTGAAAAAATCTTATAAGTAAAACATATTTTCGTTCTGCACTGAAGTTAATAAACTTGACAAAATTACTTTAATTGTAATATTTTTTTATATAATCCATTCATAACATTTAAGTTTTATAAAGGAAAAATGATTATTTATATTAGTTCATTCCTTACTAACTATAGGACAACCAAGAATAGTTTAAATACAATTCTAACACAACCCGCATTTTTCCCTATTGAACATAGAAGAACTGAAAGTGTGTGTTATCATGCTATAAAATCACTGTTTGACGTTCTATATTTAGACATGTGACGTAATCATTATACACGTGACGTAACCACTAAAAATGTGACGCGCTGACAATAAGTACGGACACAAATCAGGCGCAATTTAGCTAATTATCATGCACGGGCAGCATTTATTTGTTGATGTCGTGTTAGAATCGAAATAATATATCCAAATCGGTGATTTTATTGCTTGATAACATCACTGTTTGTTGTTCGGATGCGCACCATTATATCATTCGGGCTATGCCCTCGTGATATAATTCCCCGCATCCGAACTCCAATGAGCAATAAAATCACAGTTTGGGATATATTATTTCTTAATCGTCAATGTAAATCAATTTGCTAAACAGACAGCATCTTAAAGTTCATGATGTAAACTAACTTGTCAAAGGAATCAAAATTGAAGGAAGTCAACCAAGAAAAAGGAGTCAAAAAAGATAAAATATTCCATCAAGACTGTTAGACACTTTCCACCAAAAAAAAAAAAAATTCTGGATAGGTGCGCAATTTTGTTTGTAATTCCAGACCGCCTTGTCTTGAGTCAGGGTCCGTCCTGTCCCAAAATATGGTCCGCCCCATCCAAACATATGGTCCACCCTGTCTCACGGGATTCAGAGTCAACTCGTCCTCTGGTCAACTCGTCCTCTGGTCAACTCGTCACCTTTTTGGTCAACTCGTCCCCTGGACAACTCGTGCTCTGGTCAACTCGTCCCCAACTCGTCCCTTATATTTTATTATTACTTGTTTTTCATATAGTTCATCAATCATTATAGACTGTTAAAATAATATATTATAAAATTACTGAATTGGACATATTTTGACGCTTTTTGTATGCGAATATTTGGAGTTTCATCTAATAATAAGGATATATATGCATAATTCTGATTAAATTACATACAGAAAAAAAAAACAACACGAAGATGATCAATAGCAAAAACATTTAATGTATAAAAACATGTTTTATATGCAATGATAAAATATCATATAGAATGTCTTTTTTGTCAATATTATGTCATATATATTCACTTTCACTTTCACGCTTTCATTGTGTTTTTCATGCACATATTTCATTGTCTTTTTTTGGACATCTTAGGACTCTTGTGGCTTGTATAAGTTGCCGAATTCTCTTAGAAGACCCGTTGATGACAACTCCCCATTCCTGTACTTATCCCACAGCCTGTCCCTGGAGAAAGGTGTACTTTTTCCGGCGTAGTAGTACTTTTTCCGGTAGCGGCGTAGTCTTCCTTCACTTATCTGATCTTTAGTCGGCGATTGTTATACCTGTAATATAATGTTTTCATTCAGTTGACTACCTAAATTAAATATGTTCTTATTATTGTAAGCAAACGACACGGTTTAAAATTATTCAATATTTTCGGATTTTCCATTTAACAAAACAATAAAACATTTTTTAATAATTAAATGTAGTTCAATTTTTATTATTTTTATTAGCATATAAACATGTACATGTTCGCCATACATTCAATTGCGGCAGTTATATACAACATGAGAAGAGCATGAGCATTTAAACATCGATATCATGTATATATTAGTAGTATCATTATATCAACATATATACATGTAATAATAATAATAATAATAATAATAATTTAAACCGATCTTATATTTATCAGGGCAACTTTTATATTGACAATTTCCCAACAAACAATTATCATGTTTTTAATTGACACGATCCTTCTATAATGAGATCAATACGCACCGACATAAAGTTTTTAGCACTTCTAATTTCTGTTAATCTGTCGTCAGTCTTTAATCCATTCAGGGAGGCGGTAAAAATCATCAAAGAGTTGGACCTAATATTAGTTTTAATTATCATTAAAACTCCGATTACTTAAACATTAATTGAATGTTTGTAAACTTACCTGTCTTTGTAGTTTGACATCAAAGCTATGCTCGTACGCTTAGATAAAGATCATTAAAATTTAACGTAAAAAAGACGTAATTATTTTATTAATATTTCGATATCAATCAAATTCAGTATTAATTTTACATATTTTACATGAAAGAACTATTTAAAGACATTTTAAAGACAGAGATCGAAAGTAGGGGACGAGTTGACCATATTAGGGACGAGTTGACCAAAAGTAGGGGACGAGTTGACCAAAAAGGTGTCGAGTTGACTAGGGGACGAGTTGACCAGGGGACGAGTTGACCGGATTGCGTCTCACGGTCCGCCCTATCCGTAATTCATAACGATATAACACAAATCCATTTTTTTCCATTTTTATCTTTTCTATATTTTGATATTAAATGAATAACAAGATTAAACAAATGTTTATGTCAAATCAATCATTCAATGCGACTAACACCTTTGTTTCACTCATTCGCAAAAATCATTAGAGAGGGTAACCCGGTATCATGTTGCCCTAAGCCGCTTGATAATTGCAAAGGCCGGTGTAAACAATGTCTTTGACGTCACACCGTATATCAAGATCAAGATTCACATTTAAGTTTTAACTGCAAATTGCATATAAGAAACTAAGGTCGTAAGGCGGTACCCGTCGTAAGGGAAGTAACTCATACTATCTGAACCCCATCTGCGAATTATGATGAACGATGATTGTCGTGATTATGACAAGTAAGAGATTCAACAATATTATTTTATCACAAAACGTCAAAAGACTGTCTATGCGCAATTGGCGCAAAGAAATAAACTGATAAAGATGTTAGCTTTAATCTTGTAAAAAGAAACCTTTTAACATAATAACAAAAATATAACAAAAGAACCATACCAAGACTTCTGAAACCCTTTGGTCACTCCATATCCTCGATGATATCTAACACTGTATTCCCTTTCATACTCGTCTAGTTGAAAACATCGGCTGGCGGCCATTTTCCGGATGTTTTTGCTGAAAATCGTTCTGTCAGACGGTTTACGGCAGATAAATTTGTATAGACAAGGGGCATGAAATCTGTATAGACTTTCGCTTTAACGGACAAAAACACGCTTTACTACAACACCGTTGAAAATGGCGGATAACGAAGGATTTCAAGAGGAAACTCAGCAAAACCGTGAAGAAAGGAGACAAATTAGATTAAGATACAGGAATTTAATTGACGAGCTTCAAGGTAAATGTAAAAACATTTTTACATTATATAATTTGTAGGCCTACTGTTCTTTCTGTCACATGATTTTAGATGTATTAGCATCATCAGTGATCATCACTTTGCAAACTTGCAACTTCTAGTTAGCTTCAGGTGTGTGTGTGTGTAGTTAATGCTTAATGAGAGTCCATCTGCCCGTAAGGGCACAAAATGCAGCTTTCGCTGTAGAGTACGGACCCCGGACATGTCACCAGTCATGCCCTTAGAGGGTTAATTTTGAAGCACAAAGTGGTGATAATTTACCTCCGGAGTTATTCCTAATTATAAGACCTATATACGTAACCTATTTCATATTTCTCATTCATTAATCTGATATTTGACATTTTTCATTTTCCATGTTACGTTAGGTCTTAACAGATCTTTGCAAAATCGTGTAGCAAAAAAATTGACATTAGACATCGATTTAGATCTAATGAATTTAAACAATTAAAACAGTACATGTATTTACATTAATTTTGGCCTATTTATGAACAAAACTAAAAAATAAATACCTTTTAACAAAATAATTGAACTGTCACGTCCGAAAAGTCATGATTAAATCCTCTCATTTAATTAAATTCCTTGTACAGCCGATATACAAATGGCCGCCATACAGTGCGCAAAATCTGATTGGCTAATTCAAATGCAAGCGTTTAAATGAGTCCAGAAGTTTCTAACGGAATATTTTTTCAACGAAATAATTGCCCATACACCGTCAGTGTGTTCGAATACAGTTTTCCGTTCAAAAAATTGGAATCAATCTGTAAAACGCTTTACTTAACCAGTATGGCCGATGAGCGAAATAGACTGATAATTATATTTTATTTTTAATTGGTAAGTGCATTGTTTGAAAGTTTTTGTTAAATGATAGACCATGCAATTGAAAGAACAGAAGATAAGCTTTTGAATAAAGCTTGAAAGGCAAGTCAACAGACATTTTTTAATTTTTCCAAAATGCTACGCGTTTATGAGCAATAACTATTAGATGTCAGGCTTGACCAACATAAAACTATAACAAGCCTGTAACGTCTAATCTATTGGACTACTCCGGAGTATGCCGTTGACCCGAATTTTCGGTGTTTTAACGTTTTAAATTTAAGCCACCGTTTTTATCTCGACTATTCGCAGAATAATCGAGCTAATGCAGTCACCCATTTGTCGGCGTCGGCGTCGGCGTCCCTGTGGTTAAGTTTTTGTATGTTAGCTGGTATCTCTATAACTACTGAAGGGAATGGATTGAAACTTCACACACTTGTTCTCTGTGATTATCTAAGATGATTGGCACAAGTCCCATAACTCTGATTTGCTTTTTTTCATAATTATGCCCCTTTTTCGACTTAGAAATTCTTGGTTAAGTTTTTGTATGAAAGCTGGTATCTCCATAACTACTGAAGGGAATGGATTGAAACTTCACACACTTGTTCTCTGTGATTATCTAAGATGATTGGCACAAGTCCCATAACTCTGATTTGCTTTTTTTTCATAATTATGCCCCTTTTTTGACTTAGAAATTCTTGGTTAAGTTTTTGTATGTAAGCTGGTATCTCCTTAACTACTGAAGGGAATGGATTGAAACTTCACACACTTGTTCTCTGTGATTATCTAAGATGATTGGCACAAGTCCCATAACTCTGATTTGCTTTTTTTCATAATTATGCCCCTTTTTCAACTTAGAAATTCTTGGTTAAGTTTTTGTATGTAAGCTGGTATCTCCTTAACTACTGAAGGGAATGGATTGAAACTTCACACACTTGTTTTCTGTGATTATCTTAGATGATTGGCACAAGTCCCATAACTCTGGGTTTTTTTTCCATAATTATGCCCCTTTTTCGACTTAGAAATTCTTGGTTAAGTTTTTGTATGTAAGCTGGTATCTCCATAACTACTGAAGGGAATTGATTGAAACTTCACACACTTGTTCTCTGTGATTATATAAGATGATAAGCACAAGTCCCATAACTCTGATTTGCTTTTTTACATAATTGTGCCCCTTTTTCGACTTAGAAATTCTTGGTTAAGTTTTTGCGTGTAAGCTGGTATCTCCATAACTACTGAAGGGAATGGATTGAAACTTCACACACTTGTTTTCTGTGATTATCTAAGATAATTGGCACAAGTCCCATAACTCTGATTTGCTTTTTTACATAATTATGCCCCTTTTCCGACTTGGAAATTCTTGGTTAAGTTTTTGCATGTAAGCTGGTATCTCCATAACTACTGAAGGGAATTGAATGAAACTTCACACACTTGTTCTCTGTGATTATCTAAGATGATTGGCACAAGTCCCATAACTCTAATTTGCTTTTTAACATAATTATGCCCCTTTTTTGACTTAGAAATTCTTGGTTAAGTTTTTGCATGTAAGCTTGTATCTCCATAACTACTGAAGGGAATGTATTGAAACTTGAAGAGTTTGTACCTTTTCGGACAATTTTATGTATTCATATAGGTAAGCATTATTATACTCAATGAAACACCCTTGTGACAAATTTTCGAATAGTCGAGCGTTACTGTCCTCCGACAGTTCTTGTTAAATTAATAGTAATTGGAAGACAAAAAAACATCAACAGTAAGTAAAAACTATGACAAACAAAAAAGAACTGTTTAAAATATGAAAATAAACTATGTCAGTAAGAAATTTTATCTAAATCTTTCTACTTTCACTATCAGTAGTCTGTGTCGCTCAGAAGCTTTCTCATATTTTCGGGGATTTTGATTGGATGGCCTCATTTTGGTAGTTACGTTGCACCCGCTCAAATTCTATACTGCACTCAATATATTTCTGGACATTGGTTTAAGTTTGGCATAAGTCCCGGTGACAAATGTTTTGGCGAAGATACAATTTTTGTTCTTTTTTGTTGCTGCTTAGTTGAAAATAACGTATATAAATGAGAAAAGAAATAATTGTAATTGAAATGACATTGACAGATTTATATTTATGTGTTTAATATGTTTAGTATGCATTCTAATGGTAGTAATTAATAGAAATAACTATATTATAAGTGTCGGCGAAAAATTGATGCTTTTTGGAGAGTCCAATCAATTCACGACCGAAAATGATGCCACGAAAATTATTAAATATGAGAACCCCCGATATATGAGTGCAAAGCATATTAGCCAAAGATATGAATTTGGCTGTATCCTAGAATAAACCCTGGGGTCTCAACCAGGAATATATAAGGTTCATTCCTTTTTCTTTAGTTTAGTATATTACATATACAGGTATTACATCTGTAATATATACATTGTGCAGTAGGGTCTAATCCAGGAGATGCCAGGAGCTCACGCACCATAGCGCACCATCCTCGTCGACCCGAAGTCTACTTTGTAGGGCCACTCCCCTCGGCTTTATTCAGGACATCAGCAGCTGGTCCAAAGCACAAGTTCTGATATTTTCGCCGTCCCCAGTCTTCAAATTTTCTGCTGATGCCCTGTGTCTTCTTTACAACATATACATACCAAGGGGAAGTGAGAAGTACATTAAGGGCTTCAGCTTACCCGTTTATATGCTATGGCATGACGTGAACACTGAAGACGGACCTGTATGGAAAGTCCACCAATAATCGTGTCAGAAATCTGACAGCTTTGCTGTCTCCTGTGACAGCTTTTGTTTTTGTTTGAGGTACATTTGTTGCATTTATAGAGCTGGTCAATTCTGTGTATCAAAATGGAAAACAAAAGTCGATCGCTGAAGGTGTCATTCTTATATTTAAAATTTTCGAATATTTAAAAATTCCATCAGATTTTTTTCACATACAAATTTTGGCTTGTAACATGTGATTTATATTATATGGCTAGAAACTGCAGCTTACAATATACGCCAATACAACCACATGTTAAAATATATCTTCAAGTTAACATGTATATTATTCTTTAATTTTATTTGTAGAGAATCGTGAAGAATTGATCAACCCAGAATCAAATGAGCTCAGTGAAAGACTCAGAGAAGCTGATGAATTGTTTAAACCAGGCAAGTAATTAAATTTAAACATTATGGTTGTAGTTATGATGTTCAGTTGTGAAGCAAGTTTTTGAATCTTGCATAAATTTATAATATTTTTGTCAAGAACTGCACATTATTTTTGTAATTACGGAAACAGGAAACAATCTAAAACTTGTTACATGTATCCCCTGAATTGTGCTTAAAGGGTCCTTGATTACTTGACATTTTGATATGTGCTTTCCAGTATGTAAGTACTGGTGTGCTGGTGATATTACAAATGTAGTTATGTCTAGCACTACTATTTAAAGAAGAGTAGGGCTATCCTTCTCACATTGACATCGCATAAGACTTTGGAGCAACTTTTTGTACAACATCATGTCACATCAACCACTAAAGATGTTTGCTTGTAACTTCTCACATTTATTTCATTTTGAGGTCATAATAGGCGGTCACTGTTAAGGGTTATTACTTTTAGCATGGATTTTGGCAGAGTTTGGGCCCTTTGTGAACTTAGAAAATTGCATGTTAAGTTGTGCCTTCAATATTATTTTATCTTTTGGATCATAAATAGAGGTCACTTTTTAAGGCTGATACTTTTAATGAAATATGACCTTTATGAACTTTTAAAGCTTCTTTATCAATATCAAAGACTCATAACTTTGCCATAAATTTTTTTTGGATAAAATCATCCTATTTTTTCCACTGAACATAATTTAGCCCTCTGTCCTACTGAAAGCTCTTGTTCTTATCATTTCAAGAAGGAAAAAACGCTGAATTGCAGATTATGCGTCTTATAACATTAAAGTTCATAGCAACTGATATTCATTTCTAGATATGTAAGATGATGATTTTGTTATGCTAATGTTTTCTAAACTATTGCATGTTTGAAATACTACATGTTTTAATTGTTTGTTTAATATTATTAGTTAAATGTGCTCGGGAGGTTGCGCTGGACTCTCAAGCCATGTCGATGATTGCCAACATTGGGCGCATGAAAGCTCAGGCATTACATACAGAGTTTGTGAGATTTCAGCCTACAGAATTTGCTAGTAAATTAGTAAGTTATATTTTTTACATTAAATTGTCTTGCAGTTGCAAATTATTGAAGATCATTATTTGATGGACTTGAAATTGATATGCATCAAATTCTCTGTTTAATATATAATTTTGGAGTAGAAGCTGATTGTGATCATACTTTTGAGGTTTCTGTGGCAAGGTGGCTAAAGTGATTGACTTGGGACCATTTCCCTGTCGCCACTGACTTTGTTTCATCTGGATTGTTTCATGTGCCAGAGGAAGCTATCTAGCTAGCTTACAGAAGGTCATAACCTCTGACATAACCTCTGACATTGATATTTACTGAATTTCTAAAATGTTTGGTTTAAAAGTTTGGCTTGCAGCATAAATCTTTCTTAAAACCATTGATTGCATTCACTTAAAAACTTGCTTCATGCTTTTAGAATTACAATTTGTGGTCTCTTTCTGTGGCAGAAATTTACAAAAATTTTTGGTCAATATCCAAGACTCATAACTATGTCATGTACATTATTTGCATTTTTATTACTCCACTCTTTGGAGTGTGGAGCAATTAAATTTGCCCTTGTCCGTCTGTGCATCTTTTCCAAACTGTTGTGTCACATGTAGCTCTAAAAGTGTGTGTCCCAGGGGTATTGGTGTCTGACTTTTGTCCAGAGCATATCTCCTACACCCATTTAGGAATTTTAATGAAACTTCATAGAAATGTTAACCACTATGAGAAGCTGTGTTACACGCATGAACCAGGCCTCCAGGTCAAAGGTGAAGGTCACACTTAGAGGTCATTAAAAAAACATTGGTCCGGAGCAAAACTTCTACATGCATAGAGAGATTTAATTATAACTTGGCACAAATGTTCACTATTATGAGGCAGAGTGCCACATGCAAAATTTAGCTCACTGCAGCCAAGGTCAAGGTCACACATAGGGATCAAATTTCAGATACAAATATGAAAATGTGTATTATCATTTATTGAGAGATTGAAACACAAATGTTCATTATCATGACTACTGGTGTGAAACATGTAATTTAGGTTAATATATGCAAATTCAAGTTTACTAAAGATGATTGTCAAGGTCACTAAAGATGATAAAATATAGAGATTTTGTCCGGAGCATGTATCCTACACATACGGAGGAGGGATTCTGATGAAACTTCATACAAATGTTCACCACTTCGAGAAGCTGTGTCACATACATGAACCAGGTTTCTAGGTTAAAGGTCAAGGTCACACTAAGAGGTCATTGAAATACCCTTATCCAGAGCAAAATGTAAGTCCCTGCAGTCAAGGTCAATGTCACACATAGGGGTCAAAGTTCAGATATAAGAAAACTAGAGATGATAATATATCTAGATATTTTCTGGATTTTGCCCAGCCCATATTATCTCCTATATGCATATCTATAATGCCCTCATCTCTTTCAAAAGCTTCTGTGATGGTCATGTATTGCCACAATGTTGCCCTTGTTGTTAGAGTTATGGCCCTTGACTTAATATAAATTTGCAATTTTTAATTTGTGTCTTGCGTAGTCCAAAAAAATATTTGATCTGGAGTCCTGAAACTTTACAGGAATGTTTGTAAGCATGTGTAGTTATTCACTTGGGGGTTTGCTTGTGGATTTATTGAGTATTAGTAGAGTTATGGTCCTTGAGTTAGTAAATGATTTGCAATTTTAAGCTTGTGTCTTGCGGAACTCAAAAAGTATTTGACCTAAAAATTTTCAACTTTACAGAGCTGTTGGTCAGCATGTGTAGTTTGTGTAGCTTGTTTTTATGCTCTATTAAGCATATTTTAGGATATCAAATTGAGATTAGAAATTCTTAATATTGGAAAAATTCAAGATGTCAACAATGTCGGAAAAATTGGATGGCGTTATTATACCCCAACCACTTAGTGGTAGGAGGAGTCATGTAGAATTTCGGTTGTCTGTCCCTCTGTCTTACTGTCCTTCTGTACATCAGTGGACTGACAAAATAGTGGAGTATTGGTGCATCCATGTCCTATGGACCCATTTCTAGTAATGTTATGATTTGAAATTCCTTGAAAAAGAGACAGGCAGTTTTAAATCAAAGTAAGTTTGTTACAAAAAATGGATAAGGTAAATGGTATGTTGTTGGTATAATGAAGTTTTGTGAATTTTCAGATTAATTTTGTTGGTGGACAGACTGCATCCCAGTCAGAAAGTGCAAGAATATCTGCATTAGGTTGGGCAAGGTTAGGTAAAGCCACTCAGCCATTCTTTAAACGAGCACCTACCTTCCAGTATATGTAAGTTTTACTATAAATTATTATGTAGACTCTCATCATTTAACTGGAAATTTTATGATCCCTTGATCCTGCCTTGTCGTTATTGTCATGCAAAAACTTCAATGTTGCCAATTTTAAACGTATCAATATATAAATGAGCCGCGTCATGACAAAACCAATATAATGCATTTGCGACCAGCATGGATCCAGACCAGCCTGCGCATCCGCACAGTCTGATCAGGATCCATGCTGTTGGCTATCGGTTTCTCTACTTGTAATAGAGTTTGTAAGCTATAATACAATAATAATGCAATGGTGATAATTGAAAATCTGGTTTCTTAGCCTTTCTGTGTCTCTTGTATTTTGCTTAGAAAGGACTGTATTTTGTATTTATTAGGCTTGGGTCATTTGAGAGAGGACCTAAACCTGTGAAGGAAAGACAACAGAGGGCTCCAAAAGAAAAAGACAACATTGTTGGGAAAGAAACTGTGCCTCAACAGGTAAGTACAGTTTATTAAACTGTTGGCAAATATACAAATATTTTTCTTTCTTTTGTTAACTATTTAAGTGCAAATTTATAAAGTTTTGAATGTTAAGGGGCATATTTCTGTAGGATGTTGTATACTAAAAATGAAACAAGTTCTTTAACCTGAAAACATGACAAAGATTTTTTCTTATTTTAAATATGATTATCCTTTGACATATGAATTTTTAAAGGTATTTGTTAAAATTTTAATTTCAAAGGTTTTGAATAAATATTGTAGAAAGACAGTTTTAAGTATAATTGGTAAAACATACAAAAGGAAAGACTGTAAATCTGGCTGCTAATTTCTATTTTTCAGGTCTTGTAATCCCATTAATATAACAGTAATGTAATTTAGATTTGTAACTTTGTCGTCTTTGTCTTACAAAGAATTATTCTATAAAATATGTTGATATTGTGTTTTAGCTGAAGGATTTTAAGACAACAGATCAGAGCGAGGCAACAACAGAAGAAGTAGAGAGGGTTTTACAAATACTGAGAGATCTATACCAACAGATGGGTGATGGTGAGGGAAATTCATATATTTGATTGTAAAACATTAATGAGCCGCGACACGACAAAACCAACATAATGCGTTTGTGACCAGCATGGATCCAGACCAGCCTGCGCATCCGCACAGTTTGATCAGGATCCATGCTGTTCGCTAGCAGTTTCTCTACTTGTAATAGGGTTGGTAAGCAAACAGCATGAATCCTGATCAGCCTGCGCGGATGCACAGGCTGGTCTGGATCCATGCTGGTCGCAAACGCATTATGTTGGTTTTGTCATGGCGCGGTTCATTTATGGGAGATAGTTTAGGTAATACAGGCAATGTGATACTGAGATATGCGCACTTTGTGTTGCTAAGGTAATGGATAGAAGAATGTATGTTTGTATGGGTTATCATGTACATGTGTAAATGTCATAATATTTCCGTCAAATTTGTGATACAACCAGAAACTGTGTCTTATTTGTCTGCGGCTGAGTGGTTAAATTCATTGACATCAAATGACTTCCTCCTGATAGCTGTTGATTCTTAACCCACCGTAGACTTTTTGGATTCTTTCATGTGAGGAAGCTATGCATCTAGCTTACATAATGGCAGTTCTAGTAAGGTACCTGCATGTGTCTGAAACATAATTAACGATGAGGCACCTTAGGTCTTACTCCACTTATAAAACTTCTTTATGACCTTGACAGTGTTGGTGTGACTTAAAACAGAACAAAAAATGTTGCTGAGGAAAACACTACAATCCAAAACAAAAAGACAACCATTTAATACCAGTAATTTCATTTACAGGAAACATTTTTCACTGTTTTCCTCAGACCACACAGATATATTACTTATGAAGATAGAAAACACAATTAAACTGATGTTTGTGCAATTGCTTAATTTGACAAAAGCATGACGTTTTTTTTTTTTATAAAATAAACAAATCCAAAAGAAGAGAGCAGATTTGGATCAAAAGTGACAATGTAAAGGTGAAGTTGGGATTAATGAAGATATATGAAGATTGTTTTTTAAATGACTTTAGAACAGTATTTTGTGTTTCAGTGAAAATTTATGTTATATATTTACAGGGAAAGACCCTCTGAGTTATTTTGATTTTGTGTTAAATCCAGACTCATTTGGTCGCACTGTTGAGAATATCTTCCATGTTTCTTTCCTTATCAGAGTAAGTGTTGCCTGTATATATTTTGTTCTGAAGTAAGATAGAATAAGTCTGCACTTATAGAATGTACATCTTCATCCTTTATTACTTTACTTTGTATTTCATGAACATGTTACATAATTATCTTAAGTTAGACTGTTTGAAGAATAAGGAGAGGTATTGTGCTCATCCAGGCCTCGGCGTCACACTTTGGTTAAATTTTTGCGTGCAGCTACTGAAGAGAAACTTCACACTCTTATTCTCTATTATTATTTGACATGATTGACACAGGTCCCATAACTCTGAGTTACCTTTACACAGTTATGCCTTTTTTCTTACTGTCAAACACTGCAGAATAGTGAAGTGTGCTGGTAAGTCAGTTTGTGTATTTTGTTCTAACATTATAATTTTGTAAACATTAGAAAAAAACTTATTTTACTCTTCAGGATGGTTTAGCCAAGATGGTCATAGATAATGAAGGATTGCCCACCATATGTAAGAAAACTATTTTGTATGAGTTTTTACATGGTTAAGTGATGGTCTTAGGTACAATTAATAATAATGTTGATAATATTTAGTACCACGCATGAGAACAATGAAATAAATATATATGGATGTTGTTGGCAGGTGTAAGATACATGATCTAATATCACATATTAGAATTTAAATGCAATGAAAATATACTTGTACAGTACTACAATTTAGAATTTAGATGCAATGAAAATATACTTGTACAGTACTACAATTTAGAATTTAAATGCAATGAAAATATACTTGTACAGTACTACAATTTAGAATTTAGATGCAATGAAAATATACTTGTACAGTACTACAATTTAGAATTTAAATGCAATGAAAATATACTTGTACAGTACTACAATTTAGAATTTAAATGCAATGAAAATATACTTGTACAGTACTACAATTTAGAATTTAAATGCAATGAAAATATACTTGTACAGTACTACAATTTAGAATTTAAATGCAATGAAAATATACTTGTACAGTACTACAATTTAGAATTTAAATGCAATGAAAATATACTTGTACAGTACTAAAATTTAGAATTTAAATGCAATGAAAATATACTTGTACAGTACTAAAATTTAGAATTTAGATGCAATGAAAATATACTTGTACAGTACTAAAATTTAGAATTTAAATGCAATTAAAATATACTTGTACAGTACTAAAATTTAGAATTTAAATGCAATGAAAATATACTTGTACAGTACTAAAATTTAAAATTTAAATGACAAATTTTGATCATTATAAAGGCATGGCAACTTCATTTTCATATGATAATTTTTGATTGGATAAAATTGGATAAAATGTTTAGTATTGAACATTATATAACACAGCTGTTTTAGCTTGTTTGAATATTAGAAAATGTTTGTTGAATTTTTGGTGAAAATTCAATTATTGAGGAGTAAATGTTTTGAAACTTATATACATCTGTAACTGTCAAGTGTCATTAGATTCAGCATGCCCATTCACGCACTACAGTGCGTAATTCACGCACAAAATTCTAGATGCACGCATAAAAAATGTAAGCAGGGGGTACATGTACATGCACGCAAAGTAAATCGTCAGAATGAATGTTTGGGATAGCCTAATAATGTACGCTTAATTTTGCCTGGGGACGCATCAAACGACCACAAATACACAAATAATACGTCAGCGCGTGTCAGTCTATAGGTAGGCGGTCCTATGCACATCGACCCTTGAAGCGATTAGCCAATCAGCGATAACACCTTCAATCATTATCACGCAATAGAGATCAGACTAATGTATACACGCGCTATACATTTAATTACCAGATATAACACGAGGTGATAATTTAACATCTTTGATCAACAGTTGATTGGAAATTAGCAAATTTTACCGACAAAAGGATAAGAATATCGACTATTTACGCCGCAAGTTTAAAGACTGTTTTCTCAAATTACAAATGAGTGTAATTTTGAATTATTCTCGAAATTTTCGGCACTTTATAAGCAAAATTTTGCTTTCGTTTCATTCTTGCAAAAACGTTCTATAAGAGTTTTAATAATTTAACATATTGTGCCGAAATGCCAGGACAACTAACCAAAATACACGTACGCTTTCCTTTGATCCGAAAATTGATCCCAAACATCGGTGATTTCACGTTCCCCGGAATTTCAGAAACCCTAAAATTTCGCAAAAATTCTCAGTTTCCAAGCCAAACATGAGAATGAATTGTTCCTTTATTATTTAATCAGCATTAAATCTTTAAATATCGATCTTCAATTTGCCCCCATTTTGAAGATATTTGCTAAAATAATTGTCGATCGAATGAATCTCTTACACACTGTGTGAAGCACAGTACACTATTCCTATTCATTCCGCTACACGCTGCCTATACATTTACGTTTTTTTTTTTTACAAATATAAACTTTTTGTCTATAGAGTGGACTTACTTAACCAGAATAAAATTTGATTTGGTATAAAAGTGAGAAAAAAAAACCAAGCAGAAAACGCTTTCCATGTGTTGATGCATTAAAATGAAATAATTTCATGAAAAATATTAACAAAACAAAACAATAATTATACTATATTATACTACATTTATATAAAATGTTCTTACAAACAAAAACACGTTTAAACTTATGTGTACCCCCAGATTTTGAAATGTACCCCCAATTTTCAATGACAGGGGGTACATGTACCCCTACATTTAAAATTGAGTGGGCATGCTGAGATTAAAGGTGCCATACATAAGTGCTTTCTTTGGAATTAAAACATGGCTTCTTATATATATATATATGTATATATGGATGATGTTAATAAAATATCAAGTAATACCTGATTATGAAATTTTCTGTTTATGTTGTAGCACATAATTTTCAGACCTATTTATCTTAATTCAGACATATTATATCAATTCTGACCTGTTTGTCTCAATTCAGATATAAGTACATATGTATATCAATTCTGACCTGTTTAGCGCAATACAGACCTAAATATTATATCAATTCTGACTTGTGTATCTCAATTCAGACATATCATTACAGACTTGTTTATCTCAATTCAGATATAAGTACATATGTACATCAATTCAGACTAATTTATCTCAATTAAGACATAATCATATCAGTTAAGATCTATAAATCTCAATTCAGACCCAGTTGACCAAGCTGAGGCACAGAAAAATAAGGAGAAAGGTAGTCAGAGACGTCATCAGACTGTCATGTCAATCACACCTGGAGACTGGAAGGTAAAATCTTCAATTATAATCTATATACAATTCTAACACGGATGAACTTCTTATATAAACAAATAAGAGGGAAGCATACATTATTTCACCACCACTCACTCGCTGTTCTATAAAATATGAGGGGGTAGCGTACATTATTTCACCACCACACACTCGCTGTTCTATAAAATATGAGTGGGCAGTGTACATTATTTCACCACCACACACTCTCTGTTCTATAAAATATGAGGGGTAGCGTACATTATTTCACCACCACACACTTGCTGTTCTATAAAATGGGGGTAGCGTACATTATTTCACCACCACACACTCGCTGTTCTATAAAATATGAGGGGGTAGCGTACATTATTTCACCACCACACACTCGCTGTTCTATAAAATATGAGGGGGTAGCGTACATTATTTCACCACCACACACTCTCTGTTCTATAAAATATGAGGGGTAGCATGCATTATTTCACCACCACATACTCCCTGTTCTATAAAATATGAGGGGTTGCATGCATTATTTCACCACCACACACTCGCTGTTCTATAAAATATGAGGGGGTAGTGTACATTATTTCACCACCACACACTCGCTGTTCTATAAAATATGAGGGGCTAGCGTACATTATTTCACCACCACACACTCTGATATAAAATATGAGTGGGAAGTGTACATTTATTTCACCACACACACTTGCTGTTCTATAAAATATGAGGGGTTAGCGTACATTATTTCACCACCAAACACTCGCTGTTCTATGAAATATGAGGGGGTAGTGTACATTATTTCACCACCACACACTCGCTGTTCTATAAAATTTGAGGGGGTAGCGTACATTATTTCACCACAACACACTCTCTGTTCTATAAAATATGAGTGGGTAGTGTACATTATTTCACCACCACACACTTGCTGTTCTATAAAATATGAGGGGGTAGTGTACATTATTTCACCACCACACTCTCTGTTCTATAAAAATATGAGTGGGTAGTGTACATTATTTTCACCACCACACACTCTCTGTTCTATAAAATATGAGTGGGTAGTGTACATTATTTCACCACCACACACTCTCTGTTCTATAAATATGAGTGGGTAGTGTACATTATTTCACCACCACACACACTTGCTGTTCTATAAATATGAGGGGGTAGTGTACATTATTTCACCACCACACACTCTCTGTTCTATAAAATATGAGTGGGTAGTGTACATTATTTCACCACCACACACTCTCTGTTCTATAAAATATGAGTGGGTAGTGTACATTATTTCACCACCACACACTTGCTGTTCTATAAAGTATGAGGGGGTAGCGTCGTTATTTCACCACCACACACTCTCTGTTCTATAAAATATGAGTGGGTAGTGTACATTATTTCACCACCACACACTTCGCTGTTCTATAAAATATGAGTGGGTAGTGTACATTATTTCACCACCACACACTCGCTGTTCTTTAAAATATGAGGGGGTAGTGTACATTATTTCACCAGCACACACTTGCTGTTCTATAAAATATGAGGGGGTAGCATCGTTATTTCACTACCACACACTCGCTGTTCTTTAAAATGGGGGTAGTGTACATTATTTCACTACCACACACTCCCTGTTCTATAAAATGGGGGTAGCGTACATTAGTTCACTACCATACACTCCCTGTTCTATAAAATATGAGGGGGTAGCTTACATTATTTCACCACCACACACTAGCTGTTCTATAAAATGGGGGTAATGTACATTACTTCACTACCACACACTCCCTGTTCTATAAAATTGGGGTAGCGTACATTATTTCACCACCACACACTCGCTGTTCTATAAAATGGGGGTAGCATACATTTTTTCACCATCACACACTCCCTGTTCTATAAAATATGAGGGGGTAGCTTACATTATTTCACCACTACCACACTGTTTTTGTTACAATACACACGATTCATCTCAGAATCTCAGATAAAAGAATATCCATTGTCTTGTCTAATTTACACTACATGTATCAACATTAGTGTTTGAGAATATGGTTCTTTTAAAATAAAATATTTTTTGTAATTGTTGAAATCGATTTTAAGATTTTTTTCAGCAGATTGGAATAGCCATAGTTGTTGTTTCCTTTCCAATTCTTCATGATTGTGAGAATAATGATAGGTCTTGTTAATTATGCATATTACTGCATATCTGAATAAAATAAAAATGGGACGTCCATGGCCGAATGGTTAAGATTGTTCAAGCCATTTGGCCCTCACCGCGATGGGTTTGACTCCTGACAGGGGCTTTGGATTCTTTCATGTGAAGAAGCTATCAAGCTAGCTTACGGTTTTTCTGGTTTCTGCTTTTCCTCCACAAGTAATGCTGGAAAAGTCAACTTATTACCTATACCGTGTTGGTGCGATGTAAATCCCAACTAAAACAAAAGTACACCTCGATATCATCCCATACGTCAGTATTTTTTACCACAGTATGCTTAAAAAAATACATGTAGAAAGATCTTTTTCCTAAATATTCTAGCAATAAAATTGTTAAAATGGAAAATATTATCTGATTCACAATCAGATATAGAGGAATTAAAACACAGAGCAAGTTCCTTCACATAATAGATCTATTTGTTACATGCTCTTGAATACTTTATATACTTTTTCATAATTCTTGAACAATATTTACTTCATAACATGTTAATATTATGTTAAACTAAATTTTGAACATCTCCTCTTCTGTTGTTGGTAGATTTTGATGAAACTCTGCAGGAATGATTGTTTGGTGGTCTTTTACAAAAAATGCAAAAAGTAATCCAACATTGAGACCAACATGGCACATTTGAGCCAAAGATTGGAATAAGCTTAAATATTTAATGACATCTCACCTGCTTTGGCAGCATTTTAATGGAATTTAATATAGGAATGAGCTAATAATTGATTTTTTTCTTTTTCAATATAAACTATTTACCTCAGGTGAGCAATTTGTGGGCCACTATGACTCTCTTGTCAATATTTATATTTTAATTTGATTTTTCTATAGATATTTTTGTAATAATAGTATTTATGTTTTAGGAACTTGTGAAAATTTTTAAAAAATTGAGGAAAGCTGCAATTCCACCTCGAGAAAGCCAAGAAAATGGAGCACAGAATGGTCATGGTGATTGATTGACAACTTTAATAAGAAGAATCATGTTCCAAGAATCCGAGTCGAATAAAGATCTTTCAGGCTTGTTAATTGAATAAGTTTGAATATAAAGTTTAAAATTGGAACAAGCAGCTTTTTGTGAGATGGATTTGATTAGTGGGGGAAAAAAAGGTTAGTTGGAGTATATATGACCGAAAAGTAGTGAAAGATGGCAGTTTTGAGGATCATTAAGGGGAAACAATTTTGGAGGAGAATAATGCTATGGTCCAATCATGCATAGTAATGCATGTTGCTGTCTTGTACATATATAATAATATAACCCATCCTATAACACTTTTGTGCCTTACATTTGTTATATTCATAAAATTATTAAAAATCTGTCAAAAATACTTATAGAATAAAGTTACGCGTAAAATTCCTAATAAACTTCCCTCCCCTAATAAAGGCCCCCCCCCATGCCTTTTGATAAGGAAAACAATCTACCCATCAGTGCTGAACTCATAATTTAAGCCATAATTTTATTCAAATCATTCAGAATCCATAGTATTTAATAGTAAACACAAATATGTATAATATGAACTTTAAAATCTTAACACTTTTTAGTGTTATTACCAACACTTGCTAACACTAAATGTATTTACAGTGATTTTTTTAAGGAAAAAATGTGCTGTAATAAAAGCCCCCCTTTTGGAAAATGTTAAGCCCCCGGGGGCGTTTATTAGGAATTTTACGGTATTTTGTTAAAAGTATTTTACTTAAATTTACTGTTGTATGCTTTGCTTGTTATATGTTTTACTGCAAATGACATTTATAAAGCAATCTATGTCACCATTATAGATTTCGGTAGACCTATTTATCTGCAGTCTGACTTGATTTCTTTACTTTTGACTGCCTGTTATTGGTATAAATTACTTTGTACATGTATGTATATTATTATTGTGCATGTTAATTGGTTTAATTTTAGCTGTAGAAAAAAATATTTTTATAACTTGTTCAAGTTTCCAGTATTATTTTTTTTTCTAAACAACATGTGTACATAATGTTTATTATAATATTGCTTGTTAATCGTAATAAAGACAGACAGAAAGTTGTTGTTGTTATACACTTTGATCAACTAGTTTTACATTAGACTTTATAGTCATTATTTTCATTTATTATAAGACAGATAATGTTCCACTCAAGTTTTGTCTGTCCTACAAAATTTACTGTCATTTTTTCCCTTACCTTGTTGTTAGATATGTATTATTATAAAGTCTTCAGTAGCTATAAAGTTAAAAAGGGGGGGAGTTTTATATTTACATGTTGACACATATTATATTATAATAAAATACATTTTGATGTGACATCCATCTGATTCTCAAAATAGTAGATTTCATATAGGGGTTGTCTTGATTCAAATCTTTTAATGTGGTGTTTTCTGTATGCATGCAAGGATTTAAGTAGAACTTTATACACATATTCACCACCATGAAACATGTCATGTATGAAATGGACATCAATGTCAGTCACAGATTTCAAAAGAAAATGCTTACCTGAGGCAGAACTTTTGCACACATTGAGAGATTTTAATAAAACTTAGAATAAACTTTCCATAATTTGAGATGGTGTGGTGCACACAAAATTTGTGTCCCTGTGGCCAATTTTAAGATCACGCTTCCAAGGTTGAAGATTTACAATTAAAAATGTGTGTATGGACAATTTGTTAGATAAAGGGAGTATGTCAAAAATGTTCTCATTTGTGAGTCTAGCTAACATAATCTAGGTCAATGTATGCAAGGTCACTTGAGATAAGTCGCTCACTTTGCCATTAGCATATCTACTGTCATAAATGCATGGATAGATTTCATTATTACTTGATACAAAAATGATAACTACTATGAGACAATGTATTGTGCATGAACCAGGTCAAAGGTCAATGTCTCACTTGGAGGTCACTGGAAAATGAAAGTATTTTGAGTTGTGTCTTGTCCATGTGGTCAAAGTTAGATTTTGTAGTCAATTAGTGAGGGATTTTATCACAAATGTTGCAACTATATTACTAGAAGTTGTTGAAAACCACACAGTACTTAGTATATTATATAGGACCACATCACCTGACTGGAAGTTGTTGAAAATCACTCTGTACTTAAAAGTATGTAGGACCACATATCTCCTTGCTGGAAGTCATTGGAAAACAACTCTGTATTTGTAGAGACAAGTTCGTAAAAAAAAAAAACCAGCACAACTTTAAACTATTTTCATCAAAAAAGATGCATTTAAAGATGACATCAGATATTCAACAGTTATGCAAAGTTGCGCAATTGAAGTAATTCAAGCATGAAATCATCATTGTGATGCAACCTTTTAATTCTTTTTTTCAAGTAATGACATTTTAATTGAGAAATTTCTCATAAAGAATGCAATAATAAATTTTATGCAAACTCGTAGATAACTGTCTTTGATGTAGAAGACATAGCATACATGCCAGATGATTTGTTTGGTTTTAAGGGCAATGCACCAACACAATTTATGTAATATGGTGCAGAAACAGGAAAAGATGATTTGGCTAACCTTGGGTGTTACAAACTTAAAGCAACACCAGGGATCAAAACCACCTAACCTGCTGAAGCTAAGAGATGCATAGACTCCAGTAATTCGAACCCATTTAGTCGCCTCTTACAATCCTGCACAGGTTAAAAGGTGGCTGCAACTTTGGTGTCACAACCTGTAAAGGCAACCCTTCTGCCACATGGAATAGGACATCAATAGATAATACAACAATATATAACGATAAGCAATCATTTATTGCTAATAAAAGCATTCATATATAGCACTTGAAAATATAAATGTCTACAACTTAATGGATATTATGTCTTTGTAAAAAATAAAAATATCATTTCTAAAAAACGCAGTAACAAAGAGTGTTATTAAAAATATTGAAATATATAGAAAATGAAAAAAAAAAAAAAAAAATTTCAAACCCTTAAATTTATGTAAAAACTGACTGATCAAGAAATGTAATGAAAAACGCTACTAGTATAACACATTTAATTA